GGCCAAATAAGAGTTTATAAAGGCTAAGCTAATTTTCACTCTACAAGCTAGCTTTTAAAGCTGAGTTAAATCAAAGTTCAAATTTTAAGATCCATCACCAAATAAGTAATGAATTGAAGTGTGGAGATGATAAAGTCGGGAGACTAACATTCAATGCTAATCATCTATATTGAATTCTAGTCCTACAGAAAGTGTTGTGTGAGAGAAATTTCACAATTAAGGCATCAGTTCTGTTAGAATGTAATTAGTCATTAGCCGTTATAAATTTGTAGAAAATTAACAGTTACATATTATAAGAAATTAGAATGATTGATTCCTGATTATTAAGTAGAAATTAATTGTATTTAATTTTATAAATTAATATAAATTTATATTGTGTGGACTACATTAGACACAACACATTCAGCAAATATACTCTTCTATATGGTATTAGTAGTTTAGGTTTTTCGATTTGCAATAACTTTTTTTTTTTTTTCGGGTGAACAATATCCGCGGCCACTGTGCCCTTGGGTTCCTCCATCACCGAGCGTCCCTTTCCTCTGGTGAGCACTGCGACCAAAACCATCTTCCCCCGGCGAGTACCAAGCTCCGTTCGCTGCTGTCCGCGCGTTAGGTTCCTCACTCTCTCTTATATCCAACACAAGATTTTTACTCTATCCTTATTCGAGTCTTTGGTTGTACATGCTTTGTCCATGACCTTACTCTAGGTAAAGATAAACTTTTTGTCAAATCTCTCAAGTGTATTTTTCTTGGTTACTCATGCCTTCAGAAGGGCTATTGTTGTTTTTGTCCTCAACTTCAATGATATATTATTTCTGCTAATGTCACCTTTTTTTAGACTACTTCCTTCTCCACTTCTATTGTATTGGATGCCAATTTTGCAACAGACTTTTTAGAAGTTTCATGCATTCCCCCTATTCCGGCTCAAGTAATTGCTTCTTCACCTCCATTGCTTCAATACCACATACGGTTTAAAAATTCAGTTGTGACTCACTCCACTGATCCTCAAGCATCATCTCCTGCTCGAACTGCTCCTCTGCCCATACCTCTTGCACCTGAACTTCCTATTGCGATACAAAAAGGTATTCGTTCCTCTTGTAATCCTAACCCTCTCTATGCTTTTATCATTAATTATGATCATTCGTCTCCATCCTATTTCTCCTTTGTTTCTTCTCTGGATTCTGTGTCTATTCCTAAGACTATAGGTGAAGCCATGGCTGATCCTGGATGGCGCTAGGCAATGGTAGAGGTGATGGCAGCCTTACATTCCAGTGGCACTTGGGAACTTGTTTCTTTACCTCCTGGCAATACAACTGTTGGCTGTCGTTGGATTTATACAGTGAAAATTAGACCTGATGGTCATGTTGATCGCTTAAAAGCTCGATTGTTCGCTAAAGGATATACACAGATTTTTGGTCTAGATTATGGGGACACCTTTTCCCTTGTGGCCAAAATAAGTTCTGTTCGTCTCTTTCTGGCTATGGCTGCTATTCGTCATTGGCCTCTTCATTAGCTAGATATTAAAAATGCCTTCTTACATGGTGAATTGCAGGAAGTTTATATGGATCAACCCCCTAGTTTTATGAATCTTGGTAATTCTGGTCTTGTTTGTAAGCTTCATCGGTCTCTCTATGGTTTGAAGCAATATCCTCGGGCATGGTTTGTTTGGCATGACTAGGTGTGAGGCTGATCATTCTGTCTTCTCCTTTCATTCTTCTTCTGGCAAGTGCATTTATCTCGTTTATGTTGATGACATTGTCATCATTGGTGATGATGCGACTGGAATTCAACTACTCAAAGAGCACCTTTCACATCAATTTCATACTAAAGATTTGGGCCCTTTCAAATATTTCTTAGGCATTGAAGTTGTCCAATCTTCTTCTAGCATTGTTATTAATCAACGTAAGTATGCCATGGACATTCTTACTGAAATTGGTATGCTTGAATGTCGTCTTTGGGATACTCCTATGGATCCTAATATCAAGCTTCTTCCAGGTCAGAAGGAGCCATTGAAAGACCCGAAAAGATATCGCTACCTGGTAGGTAGACTCAACTATCTCACCATCACCAGACCCGACATCACTTTCGTGGTTAGTGTGGTAAGCTAGTTCTAAATGCCCCTTGTGATAGCCATTAGGATGCTGTGACACGTATTCTTTGATACATAGAAAAAATGCTCTGGGACGAGGGTTATTGTATGAAGATAATGGCAATACTAAGATCACTTGTTATTTTGATGCGGATTGGGCAGGATTACCATTACATAAAAGATCCATTTCTGGGCACTGTGTTCTTATTGGAGAAAACCTGATCTCATGGAGAAACAAGAAGCAAAACATAGTTGTCAAATCCAATGTAGAAGTAGAATATCGTGCTATTGCAGCAGCCACTTGTGAGCTTACGTTGCTTAGGCAACTACTACTACAACTAAAAATAAGGGACATCCATGAAACAAAACTTAATTGTGACAATGAAACTGCACTTCACATTGCATCAAACCCGGTCTTTCATGAAAGAACCAAACACAAAGATTGATTGTCACTTTGTGAGAGAAAATGTGCTCTATGAAGAAATCACTATTGATTTTGTCAATTCTAGCGATCAACTGGCTGACATGTTCACTAAGTCTTTTAGAGGCCCTCGGATTGAGTACATTTGTAACAAGCTTAGTGCATATAACATATATACTCCAGCTTGAGGGGGAGTGTTAGAATGTAATTAGTTATTAGCCGTTACAGATTTGTAAGAAATTAACAGTTACATATTCTAGGAAATTAGGATGATTGATTCCTGATTATTAGATAAAAATTAATTGTTTTTAATTGGCTTAATTAGTATAAATTTATACTGTGTGGGCTGCATTAGACACACAACACATTCAGCAAATATACTTTTCTATAAGGTCAAATGACCAATGAACAATAAATTGAATGAATCACCGATAATATAAAAGCATTACCAGTAATGTGAAGTTTTGGAGATTGTGTTTAGGATTCATTAGCCACGGTAAAAAAAGTTAATAACTAAAAGTAAAAGATAGGAGAAAATAACCTTATTACTAATAATATGATCCATGGCCTCAACATCAAGGTCCAATTGACCAAGAGATGTTGAGCGGGTAAGACAAGCAAAAGAAGAACTACTCGTGTGCACAACAAAAGTAGTGGAAATTGATGCTTGATTCTTCTCAAACTACTTTAGGAGGTTAGCATTGGTAGTTGGTGGTGTAAGGCCAGAAGATGGTGCTTGGAAGTAGGTGGAGTAGTTTGTGCAATGTTGGTTGTTTGAAAAAAGAGAGGGGGGGGGGGTGTAAATGGGACCAGTCCAACACTTGTTAATGGTGTGCCCTACTTGATGGCTATGGTCACAAGAAGGATGAGTTTTGTTAGGCTTGCAGGACCAACAGTGAGTACCAATTTGAAATATTACAATGTAGAGGAGTCAACTATGGTCGAAGGCATGCAAATGTGAGAGGAGGATTTAGTGGGTAGCTGCAACAAATTGGGTCACATGATTAAAAGCTGATCCTAAAAAAATCTAGTTTGTAGGTGAACCATACCAGGCCAACAACATGAAGGTGTGTCTCTACTCTAGTTCCTAGTCAGGTGTTGCTGTAGGAGGGTGAAAATTCTTTGAAGTCATGTAAGGAACCATGAGCTTTGCCCATATAGGCAAACATTGAACTATTATGTTGCCATGGCAATGACATTTATGTGGTTTTAGTTATAAAGGCACTACATATCATTAATATAGGGAACCTTGGCATGCTCCCAAGCTAACTCCCAGATGCTGCACGCATGAAATATCTTCTTCAAATAGGGATGAATAGTTGGCTTGATGACATTGTAGAGCTATGCATTGATCTTACTCTCCCTAGAGCACTTGGTGGAGGCCACAAAACTAGCCTTCACGGTTAGATGGTCCACTTAATCTTGTCCTGTAAGCGAAAGTTTGAAGTCCAAGTGCCATCATTGCTCTCTTATAATTTAATAATGTAGAGAGGCATTGACTTACCAGGAGGCTCAATCATTGGAGTGTCCTTGGAATTTTTGGGGGCAGATCCAACACAATAGGTAAATAAGGAGTTAGTGTAACAGAGGCTAAAAAAGCATGGCAAAAAGTGCCCCAACCAAACCGAGGTCCGAATGGAGGAAACAACCAGAGATTCTATATGGGGATAGCAAGGCAAGGATGCTGCTACAATAGTTGGTCAGGTCACTTGGGTTATGCAGATATCTCTGATCTATGATAACCAAGTAATCTTAGACATCCTTGAATCTAGTACTTCATGAGAGTACCAAATACATTGAGATAGATTGTCAACTCAAATGATCAGCTATCATATGCTTCCATTAAGTCTTTGAGAGGCCTCAAATAAGTTACATATGTAACAAGCTTGGTGAATATGATTTATGTACTCTCTAGCTTGAGGGAACCTAGTGAGATATAACTTGGTTGTTGTTGGTGTTACTCTAGCTTGAGGGGTAGTATTGAAAAGAACGTGACTAAAAGGTAATTATAGCTGTACATTGTCTCGTATTTAAGGTAACTATAATCCTTGTATTTCCTGTCCCTCAACATAGTATGGTCAAGAAAATCATTTTTCAAATTCCTTTTTTTGGTAAATTGATAGATCTAATTTTCTGACCTATGTTTGAACTTAGCTCTTGATACATTGTAAAAAGGAATTAGGAGAGAGAAACAACGAAGAAAAAGTAAAAGAGAAAAAAAGGTACTGTAGTGGGATGCTCTAACTGGATTACAGTTGGTCTCTCCATGTGTGTATTTTAAATAGTAGTCATTTAATATTAGTACAAGAGTATTTCAACATGTACAATCCCTGCTGAAACTTAGTAATTCAGTTATTCTTTTATTGCAATACTTCTAAAAAAACTATCTTAAGTCCTTGTTGTAATCAATTGTGACTACTGCAAGAACTTAACTAATTAATTAATTTACTTGTATTGTTGTTATTGAATATTGTTTTGATATCATATCAGGAAATCAGCTGGGATCCACATTTGTAAATGACTTGCAAGAGCAGGAAGAGGAACTCAAACAATATATGGTGCATCTTGAAACTGCTGAGGCGGACAGGGCTAGTTTGCTTTCCCAACTTAAAGATGCACTGCAGGAACAGGTGCAATTATTTTTGTAAATATGCTTATGCATTTGATGACTACTTGCTAATGTCAAGTTTTTCAGGAATCAAGGCAACATCTTCTTCACAACCAGTTACTGGTAAGAATCTGTTTTTACTCTCTCTCCATGGATGTAAAACAATTTTCTTTTCCCTTAATATATTGTAATCCAATTGTATGTTGCTTCTTGACATACTACAGTACTTGTATATTAGTATTACATTGATAGATAATTGGCTTTACTTTTTGTAAATTTTCACCTTATGATACAGATCTGGGTTTTGGATTTTCTGAAAATAAGTTTGTTCACTGGTATGTTATTTGAATTTGAAATTATTTGTGCAGTGTGTTCAGAATGTTTTCCTGTGAGTTCATTGATATCTAAATAAATAGTGAATCAAATTCATTTTGTCTTTCTCGGTAAAGAAAGAATAAAAAATTAAGAATAACCAAGGATCACATTCCTTTGTCTTTTCAATTCATCAAAAGAAACTATTTCTCTGATATTGTTGTTTTTATTGTTATTATTATTACCTGCTCTGATGTCTTATAGTTTTACGGCAATAGTTAAACCCTGTAAATCTATTGTTCTGCATAATGGGCGATGCTATGTATGATCAACTTGTCTTCCTCTAACATACATTATAAAGGATAAGTTTACAAAGATATGTCTGTTTGATTTCTGTTTTGTCCCCACTATTTAACAGCTTCTGGTCTGCATCTGTTAGATTAGAATTAGAATACATGGAAATATGAAACAATATCTTATCTTATCTTCGATTATTCTCTAAGATTAATTTCCCTCATCTCTTAGGATTAATTTCTTATCTTATCGTGATTTTTGTTTGCTTAATTAATTAGGATTATAATTAGTAAAAATAAGAATTAGTCCTTAAGGCTCCACAAACATATCAACACATTGTAATAAATATCTATTAATATCATTTTTCTTCCTTCCTCTGTACTTAAAGCATCATAACTTCAACATGGTATTAGAGTGGTGCCATCCTCCATGACCGAACTCATCACTATTCTGCTGTAATTTCAACAAGTCTACCAAAAATCTTTTTTTTATTTCTATTTAAAATATACATTTGATTCTTATAGTTAACACTCATTTATGAATTAATTCCTATACTTTAAAAAACTTATGTTTTAGTTCCTGTACAAGTACTTTGTTACATTTTAGTCTCTACCATCATAAATTGTTGACCGTATGGACTAAAATGTAAACAAGAAGGACCGAAACGTAACAAAGCACTCATATAATGACAAATTTATTGAGATAAAGAGAGAGAATTACAAAGAGTAACGAGGACATGGAATCCATGTAAACTGAAGTAACAAATTAAAACAAACATTAAAGTAGGGAAGATCAATGTAACAAGCCTTTCCAATCCCTTAACAAATCTGTTGAAGAAACCCCAGAAAAAAGGCCATGAGCTTTGCACTAAATAGATGGCAGCTGCCTTATCTTATCCCAAGTTATTTTATGTACCGACAAAATTTTCTTAACGATATGAGAGTTCTGCTCCAACCAAATAAACTTTAGTGCAAAATAATTTTCTTTGAAAATTTTCATTGCTTATGGAGAAACTGTGTATAAAATAATGATCAGTTGCTTCTTCAACACCTGAGAAACAGTTTAAACTTTCTCGTTATTGAACATCGTAGATTTGGAAACCCACATATCCTGCAGCATATTTGCTTAAATTCTTGGATGGTTAAGTATTTGAAGTCTTGCATTGATGTCAATTAATGCTACTTATAATGGTCTGAATCTTTACTGTTGTGCAGGCTGCACGAGGCCTGATTGAGCAAGTAGCCAGTATCAGGAAGAGGCTTGGCCTAGCACCAGAAGGCACAAGGGTGTTGGAGCAAAATCTTCCTTCAGTTCAACAACCAAACAGTACTCCTCTTCAGCCTTCTTTTTCCCAACCTTCTATTTCTTTTGCTCCTCTTCAAACTACTGAAGAAGATAAGAAAGCAGCAGCAGCTGCTGTTGCTGCTAAGCTTGCTGCCTCTACATCCTCTGCCCTTATGCTCACATCTGTTCTTTCTTCCCTCGTTGCTGAAGAAGCTGCCTCTATGAATGGTAGCTTAAATTCTACTGGGTTTCCTGTTTTCAATCCAGAGAAAAGACCCAAACTTGAAAAACAAATACCTGTTTCTGAGGTTAATAGTAATGATACAGGGAGCTCTTCTTTTTTCAGCACTTTACAAAAATCATCAGTGGCAAATGTGTCACTAACACAATCAGCCAGCTTGCAACCCATATCGCAACCCAATCAATTACAAGCTGCATTTGCTTCAGGTCCCCCACCCCCTCCTCATTCCCCAGTGAGTCCACCAGCAAATCAGTATGTTCAATCTACTGGATTGATGGTTGGGGGAATTCCTTATGCATATGGATCAAACAACCTACCACCTCCACCTCCTTTACCTCCTCATGTGGCAATGGGGTTGTCGAGGCCCAGCACTCAGCCATCACAATCACAAGCTCAGCAAGCGCAGCAGCAACAGCAGTCATCGACTGGAGGATTTTACAGGCCTCCAGGCATAGGTTTTTATGGGCAAAGCCATTCATCAACATCAGCCGCGCCACTACCTAGACCGTGAGCATTATTCAAATGTTCAACAGCTATGATTGCTGCAATCTTTGTATCAAGTTCCTTTTGTGAAACTGCTGTACACAGGTTTTTCCTGGAGGCTGTGTAATAGTGTACATTAGTAGAAAGTTAGATGTGGCAAGGAAATTGTAACATTATGGGCCCCCCTCCCCCACACCGTAATCTCATGAATCTGAGTTTTAGGTTTTATTATCGTTTGCTGATACCTAAGATCTACTTGACCAGAGTTAGGTACTGTTTTAGTGAAAGAACCTGATGAAGCTTCATATTGGCATGGCATGAACATTCGTGGCTCGAGTTTTGCTTGGGTTGCATGAACATTAACATAGTGTCATTAGACAAGATGTGTTAGCTTTTTGTTTGGATTTTGCATGGTAAAGCCTTTATTTGTGCGAAGGATTTGAGATATTGTTATCAATTATCATACAGCGCAGCCCATCAACATTGAATGGCCTAGGTGTGGTCTTCTTCATGCAGGTCTCTTCCTCAAGACATCTTTACGTCTAGTTTTACCTTCCTTTTTCTTTTTCAGTGTGACTGTGGAAGGTTAATCTAAATAATGATTTCTTGTTGGCTTAACAAATTAAAAATGTAATCGTTGTGTATAGGGTGAGGATAAACTGATAGCAGTGACCTTCGATTTTGTTCAAAGTAATGACTTAAAATTGTATGTTTATTAAAGACAAAAAATTTGGGTTTAATCATGATAGAACTTTTGGCTTTAAAGAGATAAGATTGGATTTATTATTATTATTATTACTGTTATTATTATTATTACAGTCATGTAGAAAGGATGCTAATATAAAGCACCTTAAATAATGGAATTCATATTTTTATTTTTGAAAGTTCTCAGTAAAGATTTATTAACGTCCTTTTAATTTGTTTCATGTATTGTACATAAAAATTGATATCTCTAGAGTGATAATTTAAAGAACATTGTATACATAAAATAAAATATTTCAATAAAATGAAAACAATGGTATTTTTGTACTTTAAAGTGAAAATGGAAAATATTTTTTCAAACTAAATGAATTTAAATTCGTTTGTTATTTTTGTTGTGCGCATTTTGTTGCCTATAATGGCCAGTGTCTTTCTCCCACTAGTCCCACGAAGCTCACTGTTTTTTCACTTTGTTCTTTTTCTTTTTGAGCATTCATGACTTTAAGCGCATTAGTCCAGACACATTGCCTTGTCATCCTTGGAGAGTAAACACAAGTGTTGATCCCAAAAGCTTTTAATTTTCTTCAAACAACACGGCCTCCTTATATCAGACGACTAATTCCTTTAGGGAATGAATTAGGAGTTGGGTTTTAAAGAAAAAAAAAGGAAAGAAAGATAAATATTTTATTTTCAAATTTAAAGAGATATATAATATTTATAAAAATAAATAAAAGATTGACATATTAAATTTATACTAATCTATGTTGGCTTTTATTTTTAAAAATATCTGAAATTATAGAATGTTATTAGGAATTAAAAATTTGTCCTCCCTTCTCTAACAAATGAATTTAAATTCCTTTTCAGACAAATGTTCTTAGACTCAACACCATTTCATCAAAGGAAATGAGGATTGAAGAAATAAATTATTCTAATTGTCGAAATTTTACTTTGAAGAAGAATTCTATTATATTTAATGCTAATCGAAGCTAAATATTAACTTAAAAAAATATAAAAAGTTAAAATTTAATTTATTTTAGTAAATTAATTAATATTAATTTGATTTGATTTAATTTAATGTGAAAATTTATCACTCGTGTTATAACATATGAACTATGAATAACAAAAAGCATGATGTGACATCTTAAAAATAAAAAATGAGTTCTCAAATTTAATATATAAGTATGGATAAATGGTGAAGTAAAAAATTTAAGAAAAACGTTAATATTAATCCTTAATGTTGGTTTTGTCTAATTAAAAGTAAAAAAAAATATTAAAAATATTTTTTATATTTTTTCTTTTTAATATAATAAATATTAAAGGTTTGTTTGATGAATAGGATAGAATAAAAAGTAAAAAAATATAAGTTGGATAAAAATATGATAGAATAAAAGAAGGATAGAAATTTATTTTATTTTATGTTTAATGTACAATAAAACAAGATATAGATTACACCTAAATGAAATAATTATTTTATAACCATTAATATTTTTTAAAAATAATTTAAAGTTTTGAGTTTTCAATATATATGAACATTATTTTTAAATAAAAAATATATAATTAAAAACAATTTTTTTATAAATATTAAAATTTATCCATTAAATTATAATAATTTTCTTAAATTTTTTACAATTAAAGTTTATTTTTTTGTAATAAATTATAACTTGAAACAAAAATAAACTATAAAAATTTAAAACATATTATATAAATTGTGTAAAACATTTTTATAAAAATTATATTTCATGAAAATATATTTAAAATAGATATATATATTTTTATTTAAAATAATATTCATATAGTATTTTTTATGAAAATGTACTAAAAATATTTTAAAAATAATTAATTCTTTTAAGAAATATTGAAAAGAGTATGAAGTATTACTAAGAAGGGAAAAAGTTTGAAGAATGAAAATTCGTAATTCTCCTTTGAATATAATAATAATAATAATAATAATAATAATAATAATTTAAACTTTGAAGATAGAATAATACAACTCAACAGAATAAACTATTATTTTGTTGATAAATAAATACTAAATGTGATCAAAACGTTTTCTTTCCTAATAAAAATCTTCTTGTATTAGGTGCTCAAAATCATTAAATTAAAAAATTAAGTCAAACTTTTAAAACAATCAAGAATAAATGCAAAACAAAATAAACAATGAATTTAAATTAAAAACTGTGAGAGTGTAAATATATATTTTTTTCATTGCCATCCAAGCATGAATTATCGTATCAGTAAAGATTATTAATTTAGTAATGATTAATATAAAAATCATTTTTTATATATTTAAAATATATAATAGAATAAAAAAAAGTTATACTAACAGTGCACCAAAATTAAAGTCATAAATAATATGCATGTATAAATATATTAAAATCATGAACAATTTTGAAATTGGAGAAATCTTAACATCCAAAAAAGCTATAGTAAAATTAATTAAAAATATGAGTTGTTGGATCAATAAGAAGCAAACTAATGAGCGAAAGGAGAAGTTCTTCTTCTCATACTTTTTTATTCTTCTTGGCTCTCAACCACTGCCCATTTACTAATGCGATTTCTTGCTATCTCTACCTGTAAAATCCAATTACAACCTTTAATATGCTTCATCTAAACATGAAAATTCAATGACTAAAATATACTTTATTTGATTCTAGTTTCAATTTTTTAATGTACCTTATTATAGTCTTTTATTATTATACCTTTTTAATCATTAAACTCTTTAATTTAACTGTAATTGTAATTTTTTTATTTTTCTTAAATTTTAGGACAATTCATTGATATACAAATGTAAAAATATAATTTTCCAACATTCAATTCCAAATTGGTGAAACATGCAACAAATGACAAAGGACTAGTCAATGACCTGTTTGTCCCAGTCAGTTTTGAAAGTGATGATAACAAGTATTATGGTTTGAGCAAATATTCCAAACTGCATCCCAATCCAAACACCCTGTAAAAAACAATGTTCCAACACACAACTTGTTAAATACATCTATCATACATACACCGTGAAATCCATAATCAAATGTCAATATAAAAAGAGTTACATTATAATCAATACATTGTAATTAAATTATATATTTAAATGCAATTTTTTTCCTTAAATACAGATATAAACACATTTTAAGTATTCTAATATCATATTTATTGAGATCCCTATTGTCAATTTACTTGATAATTCTAATCATGACATAAGAAGAGAGGACAAAAGATAGAATAATTTTACCTTTACTTGCAAACCCAAAAAGATACTAATCACTACTCCAACGGGAACACCAACTACGTAATAACATGCTAAGTTTACATATGCTACAATGCTTTGCCATCCAGCTCCAATAGCAACTCCTATTCATAAGATTATCAAATATAAAATCTCTCTCTACAAAAATAATATAGTTTATGAATAATTTTAAATAAATAACAAGAAATAGGGGGAGGGATTAACTTAAATATAAGCATAATTTGAATGGTTTAGAGCCATTCTAGAAAGAGGAAAAGTAATAGAGATTACCAGAAAGCACAGGTTGGACACTGTTTAATAGCATTGAGACTGCTAGCAAAGGTGACAAGTCTCCAACTGCATCAGCCACATCAGGGTTTGAAGTGAAAACAAATGCAAGCCTTTCCCTCAGGATTAGGAACACCCAAAACAACACAAACCCAACGCCAAATGATGTTAGAGCTGTTATCACAATCGATAATTTTGCACCCTTTGAACTCCCTCTTCCAAGCTCATTTGAAACCCTCACACTGCAAATTCCAAAATTGCATTAAAAGTAGACCCAAAAAGATAAAAGATAAACGATTAAGCAAGCCTTATTGTTTTTCTATAAAATTACTCCTCATAAGGATATTTGCTGTTATGGTGAACTTGTTTGTTTTCACTATTCAACTTTCGTTGTGCCACAGCCAAAAAATGCTATTTTTTAAAATTAAAGAATGTGATGAGAATAAAGCACCTAGCTGCCGCATAAAAACCAAGGGTTATCATCAATTCCCATCCACATATGTTGAGGCTGCAAAAGAAGGATAATTTGTGCAGCGAGTGAGAACATTAATGTGAAATGTGGAGGCAAAAAGTAGAATAATGAGAGTGTTACCATATGGACAGAGCATCAATAGAAACCTCGGCATGTTTCATGTTCCCTGTTAGAAGAATCAAAACTGTGTTGTACCATATCTCAAGACTGTAAAATGCACCTTAATATTAGTCTCAAGCCTGTTTTATCTTTCCAATCATGCTTATAACAGGAAGATATCATCATTTTTATAAATCATGAAATATAGGCTTTATTTATGTAAATTTTTAAATCAGTATTTATATGAAATTGCCACATTGGATGGCTTGGTGAAATTACAGCCTATGTATAATAATTGAAATGGATGATTAAAAATGCTAAATTTCTTACCACAACATAGCCCCAGAGGACAGAGAAAGCTTGAAAACAGGCCAAAGATCTTTGAAGGCCAAAAATGAAAAGCCCTTCCATGTATCAGGGCATTTATGGATGATAAACATGAGCTGCCCCAAATTGGGTAACCAATATGCCAAGATTGTTGATGTCATAGCACCATTGAGGCCAAATTTGTACTTAACGGTCAAAAGCCATGACATGAAAAGGTGAATAGAGAGTGTAACTGCTGCTAGGTAGGAAATAATCATGTTCTTGCTCTGAGATTGTAGGAAAATTTGGCAGGTAAATGAAACAATGAAAGCAAATATGACACCTATACTCCATAGAGAAATACTTCCTGCTAATTGAGCAATGTGTTCATCTTGGCCTAGAGCCACTAAAATTGGGGTGGTAAATATGTAAATAGGAAGAAGCAGCAATGTAGTCAAGAACAACACTATCCATGATCTTTGTAGATACACTCCAAGCATGTCACACTGTTTTGCCCCATATGCTTGCCCACAAAGAGTTTCCAATGCACTTGCCATGCCAAGCTGCAATTTTCATATTCCAACCATTTGAAATTTGAACTTTGTAAAACATAGACACAACGACAATCATAATAAAGAAAATGCTTACCGGTGTCCTGAGAACTAAAGATAAGCAACAAAAGTGATAAATATTTATTAAAAAGGAAACTATTTTTTATCTTAAGAATATATAAAAAAATAAATGTTATATTTTTAAAAAGAAAATTTACTATTTATAGGTGATCAAACTCGGTCTTTAAGCGGTGAGGTTAATAAAACCGAAAAAAAGGCAACATAGTATCCAATAATTTAACCAAGTGAGGTCTAAAGAGGATAGATGCATACAGTTTTACTCTGCAAACAAGTTATTTCTAAAATTTGCTCCAAAGCTTGTTATCACCTATATCATTTTACTTGTATATAGAGAATGTAGACTCCAAAGCTTGATCTACATGAAACAAAGCGATCACTAGAAGTAGGGAAATACTAACCAATACACCATTAGCAAATCTGACTAGGACAGTCATGACAAGGGCATAAGCAGCAAGTTCAGTGGAGCCAATGTGGCCAATGAAGACTTGATTAATAACAGTGATACCAAATGTTGAAAACCTTGAGAATATGGCAGGGCCTGCCACTACCCACATCTTCTTGCTTTCCTTCCATACCCTTTTCCTCAATGGCACTTCCTCATCATCAACACTCTCCTCTGAATTGGTTGCCTTTTGCAAAAGCTTCTCCTTTGCCTCACCTTCCATTGCCACTAGCACCTTGGAACTACCAATTTTTAGTGACAATAATTCAAAAAATAGAAAAATGGCCCAAGACCTTATTAAGATTCAATATCTCGCATAAAGGGAAAATGGGGCCTAAGATCGGTTCTAGACTTCAAGAGGACTAGTCTATCACTTAATTACAATGGCTTTTTCTCTATAATATTGATACGCATGATCCTGCATCTCTGCTGCACTAATGCCACAGTAACAACATTGATTGATTGTCCATATATATAAACTGGCTTATCTTTAACTAAAGTCAATTTTAGTAATCTTTCTGAGAGTTTGGATGATGTAACAAGTTACCCTTCATTTATTTTTCTATTTTCAATAAAAGAAAGAAGAAAGAAACATTTTGATGATGAAAGAAGAATACCCTTTATACCAAAATTGCTATGTCAGAGAACATCCTTTCCAAAAGTGGGAGAGGAATTTAAATTATTCCTCGTATAGCAGAGTAGCACCACCTCACTTTTCGTCACTAAAAGTCTAAAATCACTACTTCGTTTGAATTTAATTTTTTACTGTTTTATTGGCAGATAGCACACTTGCACCATGTCAATTTATTTTATAAATTCTTCAAATTTTTAAAATAATCTTTTATCACTTAATAATGTGGTGGCATGTATTTGATTATGATGGTATCAAATAACATATATTTATTTATTTTTTATGATGAGTGTGTATAGAAAAGATAAAAATAAAAATAAAAATTTATAATATTATATACATAGTAATATTTTAGTAGTTTAAATATAAAAAATGGTGAATATTCAAGGAAAGGAATGGGAGGGACATTCAGAATAAAATATGGTGAATATTTTAGTAGTTATAAAGGGAAATGTCTTTCGTTTCGAAACTAGAAAGTGCAAGAAATTTACAGATCATATTTGATAAACATTTGACAGCCAAGCCACATAACATTTCTACACTATAAAACTACTTTTATGAATTAAATTATTTTTTTTCGTTTGTGTCCTCGTCCATGCTTTTCCCTTTTAAAAACAACATATTCCTAAATATATATAGTTAAAAAATGTCTGACCTTTTAAAAGTGTTGCTAAATATTTTTTAAAAAATTAAATAATCAAAATAGTTTTTAAAAATTTAAATAATTTTCACATTAAATTTTTAAATATTTTTCATCAAATTAATTCTTAAAAATTTAAAGTATTAATATAGTAGTCTTTACAAATAATTAAAATAATAAAAAATAATTTAATTTAGTGATAAATTAAATCTTAAAAAAATTTAAAACTTTACCAAATTAAGTTTTGTGAACGACTAAATAATGGCAAAAGACTAATTTAGTCACAAAATTTTTTTAAAACTAATATTGCAATAATTTAGAGCTTGTTTGTTTTTCTTTCTAAATAAAATTTTTTAAATAAAAAATAATAAATACTTTTTTGTGAACCTAAATTTTTTAAAAATAATTTTTCATATTTTCAGTTTTTAAAACTGAAAAATAAAAATAGACTCTAAAGTATTTTGGTTTAAGTTTTTTTCATCTTAATAACAGTTTTAAAAATTAAACTAATAAACAAGTTTATTTTTATTTTTTCCTTAAAAATAATTTTAATTTTTTTTAAAAATATAATTTTTAAAAATTAAAAACTAAAACCGAATCAAACAAGCCTTTAATCATTGAAGGATTTGGTTGTCCAAAATTCTTAAATCTTTAGAAAAACCTATCTAATGACACTTTCATTTAAAAAATCAAGTTCAAAGATGATTTATTTTCTCCAGTTAGATTTTTTAAACTAAGGTTATTTAATTAGAACGATAGGGAAGGGGGAAAAAAGTAACGAGTGATTTGATTCTTATTCTGTTTCCATTGAGTGAAAAAACTAAACTTCAAAGTTTTTTCTGAGAAAAACTTTTAAAAAAATCATAAAATAATAAACATTCATCCAAATCTTCATTTTCTAGCATGCAAATCATGGCATAAGAATAAGATTTTACCTTTATTTTCTTTAATTGATCTTCTTGCCAACCACCTTCTTATACAGCACAAATCAAAATAAGCATAGAGATATATATATGTTTTGATTCACCTGTAACTATACCAAAACATAAGAAACAATTAAACAAGATATATAACAAAGAACTGTACCAAGGCTCTAAGTTTTGCACCATAATATATACATAAATAAAGATATATAACAAAGAACTTGCCTATCAAAAAGAACAAGCATAAAGTAAAATGGGTCCTTGAAAACAGCCAAATTTAGGGGTAAAGCCAAAGTGGTGATGATGGTAGAGAATCAATTCTTCACTGGACATGGCACACACACTCGAAGGCACAAAACTGATACACAAGGTTATATACAGACAAGTTGTAGTGTAATTGTGTCATCTAGTACAATAGGCCTTTCTATTGAAAAGGGAAAGCATCATAAAATTTTGGAAGAAAATAATTAATGTATAAATTTGTGTTGATTTTTAAAGACTAAATGCTGCATATTTCGAAACTTGATCTTTGGAAAATAATTAATTTATTTTTCGGAAGTTGTTAAAAAAATCTTAACATGAATTTATTCAAATGGGTCAATTTTTTATTGTAATAAAGTCCCTTAAAATTATATTCTTTTCAATAAGATAGCGATAGAGAATGCCCTTTAACTCTTATAGGGAATGGACGACTATAAACTTTAATGAAGAGAGAGATTTAAACTTTAATTTGAAAATTAGTTATTATTTAATTATTAAATATAGTATACATGGAAAGCTTTAATTTTCAATAATTTAATAATCATTAGAATTTTAGCTAAAAAAATATAATTTTTAATTAATAAATTTTAAAATATAAAAGAACAAACATGAAAGATTGAGTGATACAATGTACATATTCATTTGTCAAAGTTCTTAAAACAATGTAATGGATATAGTTTTCTTAAAAATATTTGAATTTTTTTTAAATATGTTAAAAGAAAGACTACATGCTGAAAAGGTAAACAGAAAATGAACAAAAAAGTTAAATTGTATTTTTAACCATTTTTTAAAAACAGGCAATTTTCTTTCGCAAGAATAAATGGTCAAAATTATGTTTTGGAAACAATAAATTGTAAAATAATTTAAAATTTTATCAATCATCTGGTCAAGTCAAAAGATATAATCTTTACACTAGAAAAGGTTCATACTTATTATATATATATATATATATATATATATATATAATTTTACAGTTTTTTTTTTTGTTTTTCATGAATCTGATCTGAGTTGCACACTTAAATGTAGTTGGTGAGTTTGTTACTCAAGATTTTTTGTATACCCAAAGACTCAAAATCAGATCAACCTATGTTAATAATTAATTTTATTACTTTAGAACATAACTTCTTATTAACACATGTGAAGAAATAATAGAGAGATAAAGGTAAGGAATATAACACAAAATTTATCCTAATTTACCCATAACAAAATGAGTTATTTTAGTCCTTAACCAACTTTTTTTTTTTCCTCTATAACAAAAAGTATTTTGTAGATTGAAACCTCACAGCTTCATTGTTGGTTTTTTTAGCTTAATTAAGTATTTTATTTTATCTTTATAAAATTTAAATAATTTGAACTTAGTCTCGATAAAATATTTTTTAATATAATTTTTATTTTTTATGAATTATTATTTTTAATTCGTTTAACTGATGTTATGAAAAAAAAATTTGACACTTACTAATATCTAAGTGATTATACCTTAATTATTTTATAATTAGTTTCTCTAGGCCACAACTCAATTTTGTTTTTCTTATACATGTAGCAAACGAATTTGAGAGATGTTAGATATCATGTGCTTGTTCTATCAACGTTGTATACTTGTATTCTCAAACATTTTAAATATTGGAACGTGCATTTAATGCTAATAACGTTAATTTAGTTTCCATTCAAGAAAAGTATTTTTTTTTTTTAAAAAAAACTCATTTTATTCTTGAGACAAATTGCACAACAACAAAAGCATTTTTAATAAATGTTAATAACACATTTTTTTAACACTTTATAATACTCTCTCTATTATTAACTAAATTTTTTTAAAAATTATAAAATTATATGAATCTCACTCTTAATTTAATAAATTTTATTTATAATTTTGTGTTTTCAATTAAATTTTAACTAACAAAATACTACTCAAATATATTTTATTATAAAAAAAAACTAACAACATACTATCCCTAATACATTATTTATTATTGACTAAATTTATTAAAAACTAAAAAAGTACAAAAGAGAATTATTAATTTAAGAGTAACAAAAAGTAAGACTCATTTAAATTTTATAGTTTTCAATAAATTTTAATCATAGTAGAAAATATGTTAAAAAAATGTGTTAGAAAGTGTTGCTAGTATTTCTTTTGTTATAGTCTTTCTATTATTAACTGAAATTTATTAAAAATTATAAAATTATATAAATCTCATTTTTAATTTGATAAATTGTATTTATAATTTTATAGTTTCAATTAAATTTTAACTAATAAAATACAGCTCAAATATACCTTGTTGTATGTTCTTTTATGTGTTTGAAGTAGCTAGCAAGTTAAACTATGGCCCATAAAATGCTGACACGTGATGATTTGAATATTAGTCTATAGATTATATTTTGCCTTTTAAAGTATTTGAATTTGCTAAAACTATGTCTCTAGATATGTTTTTGCAATTATAAGGAAATAAAATAATAAAAATAAATCCTAATCATATTAACTATAAGAACTATTTTTATGGAGCCAACAACATCAAAAGGATTCAACATTCTGTTTATTGGTTTTCATCTGGTTTAATCTGGATTTGACCCAGATTGCGCATTTAGATATAGTGGGTGAGTTTACTACTAAAGACCCAAAACCTTGTTTAAGGCATATTGAACCTTGATTGGTAAATGATTCAATATTCTATTCTTTGCATACACAAAGACTCGAACCCGAGACTTTACTTAAGCAATACCGAACCGCTTGTCACTCAGATCAACCTCTATTGATAAAAGATTCAATGTTCTACCAC